GTTGTCATCATTGCAGAAAGGGGTTTCCCGAGGTTACTGATTGGCTGGAAGTTCAGTAGTCGTTGAAGTGATGTCTTGGAAAGCCAGTGGTTGGGCGTTGGCTGAAGATGCGGAGTTGTGGGCTGGTTGAAGTTTTGAGGTTTTGAGGCAGTCACAGTGGACTGATATTGGACTGATATTCGTTTATGTCTTTTTGAGTTCAATTTGGTGCATCTACATCTGTCAAAGACATCTGTTTCTGTGCCATTCTGTAAAAATAAGGACATGTTCTGTGAAGACCATGTTAAAAGGTCTCACAAGGAATCTCAGTCTGGTCTTTGTCTTTAAGGTGGGGGTAACCACTCAACGCAGTTTCTACTAATGATTTTCCTCATATGTGATTGTCCTGATATGCTGTGTCTTTGACCAAGATTGGTTACTTGCCCCAAATTTGACAATCTTTAAACAAAGACATACGTAATCAAACATAAACAAAACATTAAAGATTGAGTGAAGGAACAAAACAGTGAAGCTATCCATTCAACTCTTAAAAAGAAGGACAACAAAAGAGCAATGATATGCAAGTGCTATAACAAGTCTCAGTTAGCTTAACGTAGTACAAGTAGAAAGGTTTTTTTTAATTATATAATAAAAAGAAAACAGATAGAATAGAAAAAGAATAGAGCAAGCTTGTGTTAGAGGCCTTTTTTGCTTTTGTTAATTGTATAATAAATTTTTATTATCAGTGTTGGTTGTCGCGTTTTAAATTACCAACGCTTATAACGGCCGACTAGCCCTTTCAGATCGTTTTCTGAGGTAATGTCTTGTAATATATCCTTTCAAATTGCACATGAATTCATTAAATTTAATTGTTTTACCATTTTTGGTGTTAATTTGGTTTATTTTCCTTAGCTCCATTATGTTCGCTGTTATTAAGTAATCAAAACAACAACAAAACAGCTAAGTCCGTATAATCTCTGTTATAAAGTCCTAAATAGCAACATAAAAGAGGATTTATATAGCATTAAACAATACCTCGGGTACACTCGCTTATTAAATCTCGTTATCATTAATATATGGCTGTTCATAACTGATAGACATCAGTAAACTCCACGCTGACAGATAACGCTACGACCGCTTCGCAAACAATATACATTCGCTTAAAGATTATTACAAAGATACAGTCATATTACTGTCATGTTAATGTTACTTAAAAATAATAGATTATAAAAAATATCTTTGTAGGAAGAGTTGCGCGTCTCACACACAAGCTGGTGCATGCACCGAGAGAGAGAGAGCGAGAGAGAGAGAGAGGAGTCGTTAGCGTAGCCTACTGTATGTACCAATAAAGATTATCACTGTCAGATGTAATCAGCCATCAATAATTAAACAATCAATTATGAAAAAATATAGTGAATGTAAAGATATAGCCCAGGAAATAATATTAAGGTAACTTATTCATGTAATTATGATTTCTCTTGACTGTATAGTTAATCTGCATGTTTATTCATACAAACCTATGTAATAGGCTATATGACTGATACATTTTTTCTTTCCTCTCCCTTTTCCATTCTCAGATATTATACCATATACCATATATTAAATAATTTTTTGAACTTTACTTTTAAACCATTAACAAAATGTTTGTTCTTTTCTCTTTTGAGTATTGATTGTCATCTAGTCCTGATTGCAGAGTTAAGCTCCAGCCCCAGTAATGTACAGCTGAAGCAGCTGATCAAGGTCTTCAGGATTACCACAAACTGCCAGGCTGGCCTGTGGACAGGCTGGAGATAAACTCTGCAGGATGTTGGTCCTCCAGGACACCACTGATGTAACTGATCAACCTAGCTCAACCTGATCAACTGATCAAACATCCTGCCTCTCTTCTCAAAGGTGTCTAATATACATTTTAATTTGTATTGATATATGCAATATTTCACTGAAATTCATTGATTTTTGCTATTTTTCTCCATTTGGTTTGTGTCAGATGCAGATAAAGAGCCACCAGGAACAGGTCGCTGCATATTTTGTCATTTAAGTACATTTACATTTATTAAAGCTGCATATTCATGCATCAAGTTAAATTCATTAGTTATTTCTTAAAGGGCCCATTTTTCCAAAAATGAAAGTTCTGTCATCATTTACTCACTCTTTGTTGTTTCAAACCTGTATTACTTACTTACTGTATTACAATAATAAGCCATTTTCAGTTGTGACTCAGACATCCTCTTGACAGATACAAAAATAATGTTTTGATTAAAAGGTAGATAGCATTAAACATCAGAGAAACTCTAAGAATTCACAACATTTTTTATAATAGTGCCAACATAACGTTAATATTCTACGTATAGGCTATCTGCACAAAATGCCCCGAATGCATGAACGTGTCTGCGCGGCTCTGAATGAACTCCTTTTGTGGACGCGTTCTTCACGCAACTAAACTCTAAAAATTCGTTTTAAATAAAAATTTAAAAATAAAAGCGTTTTGTTATAATGTTATGTATATGACAGTCCCAGTTATAGTTATTAATATTATGCATTGTTATTTGTCCTGCTCGCGCTGCGCGCTAAAGAGATAATCACCGTACCATGATACGCTTTACTGCAGCGCAATGTTATGTATATGACAGTCCCAGTTATAGTTATTAATATTATGCATTGTTATTTGTCCTGCTCGCGCTGCGCGCTAAAGAGATAATCACCGTACCATGAAACGCTTTACTGCAGCGCAACTCAACCAAATGCATCTTATACGAGATAAATAATATATACACGATATATATAAACCGGCTGAAATGTTTTGAAATCACTTGTACCCGACCTGATCGAAAGAATACAGACTTTCACTCTGCCTGCGACAATTTGAGTCTTGTTAAAGTTTTTAAATCCCTGCCGCCAAGATGCTTATCTGTCAGTCACGGACTATAGAAAGTGAACCTTAAATCTATAGGGGTGGTTGGATTTATTCACGCGCGTTAAAATATTTATTTAAAGCTTCTTTCTTTTCAGATTCTTATTTACAGCATTTTCTTAATAGGCTGTATATTAACTTTGGGAGAAAACCGGTAGTTCTATGTGAAATCAGACATGTGAGTCAGCATGTGTTTAGAACTGAAATTTGAAAATGTTGTAAATGAATTATCCCTTAATCTCAATCTCAATCAACCACAGCTCTCTCATTGTCTCATTTAGTCTCTGTGTATCTCTGCCATCAATAAAGCATAAATTTATTTTTAACATTAAAAAAAGTTCCACAAAAAAAATTAGTGCCCTGGGAGACTTCCTGAGGTAGAAACTTTGGTTTTGTTTAGGTTTTTTTTT